AGATAGATAGATAGACAGACAGACAGACAGAATGTTGATCGATAAACAAAATGCTGATAGTGAGATAGATAGATAGACAGAATGTTGATAGATAGACAGACACAATTTTAATAGATAGATAGATAGATAGATAGATAGATAGATAGATAGATAGATAGATTTATGCAATAGCTTTTCTATATTTTTCGGTTTTATAAACCCTAAAAAGTTATTCCATGTCTTCAAATCACACCCCATTATCTAAACACCCACGAATAGAATTTCACTCCCGAACTCTAGGCACTGAAAATGATTGACAACAATATAGTCGTGCTTTTCAGGAACGTACATTGGCATTTTTAAACGATAATCATGTTTTGATATCAACATTTTGCTATCAAAATCCATGAAGGTAATTTCTCTATTATTTTTACAAGACCTAATTTCTTTCTTTTGATTAACGGGATTTTTAAACCTATTTTGAAAATATTAATGTTTACGTACATATGATTACCAAATTAGTGATCTTTTCTGTTAATTCACGCTAAATAATATAAATTTGCTCATCGTAAATATTTATTTACCTCCAAAAATTATATAAATTTTAATTCAAAGTTTGTTTTTTATTAATTTTTGGCACTCTTTTCAAATTAAATATTTAAATCAAAAATTGTTTCGCTTGCCTCACAACAACTACAACACTCAGAATGAAAAATTTATCAAAAATTAGGGAGCTTATTTTTATTTCGTTATATATATATATATATATATATATTAAGTTAAAAAAAAACAAAAAAAAAACTCTGATGACTTGTTCAGATTTTGGGAACTGATTCGGTCCGTAAAAATTTCGGCACATCTCGAAAATAAAATATTAAAAATATTTTGATCATATATTTATGAAATTTTCGATCGATCTGATAAGTATCCATCATTGAATAAAACGCATTGACAAAAGTATGTTATATTGAAAAATGAATACCTGTAATCTAAAGTAATTTTTTCTGTCATTCATGCGTCTATTGACTCGATCTACCTGTTTTTCTCTTTCTATCTTCCTTTCTTTATATATATTGAAAATATATGGCTGTCCATCGAAAAAAGAACACGTAGCATAATAAAAACATCAAACCATATATTACCCCGGATATATTCACAAATATCTTAAATACAATAAAGAAAGAGCTCGGCGAGAATGGGAAAATACACCCCATATATATATATATATATATATATATATATATATATATATATATATATATATATACAGTTCTATTGTGTATATGCGTAACAATCCATCTCTAATAAATGCTTCTATAATGTTTTGAATGTATTTAGTAGCATGCATATATATATATATATATATATTCAACATCCTATGATATATATATATATATATATATATATATATATATATATATATATATATATATATATATAGTGTTAAGACAGAAGCTCATTATAACAACGAATAACTTTGAACGGCTCATGATCAAACATAATGGCCATTCGCTGTCTGTTATATTTAACAATATATGTTAGAATATATATATATATATATATATATGTGTGTGTGTGTGTATATAATATATATATATATATATGTGTGTGTGTATGTATATATATATATATATATATATATATATATATATATATATATATATATTAGAAATGGATTAAATCCGGCAGATTTTTTAAACTTAACTTTTAAACGTTATTTTTAAAGGATGCTCATATTTGAGTATATGCTGTGTTTGTACTTATTTATTAAACTGTATATTAAATTTATTTACATCTAACATCCTGAATATTCGAGTTCCTATATATATATAATTCGAAATTTCCCTAGTAACATCTACTTTAGAAAAACTCCTTCTATATATCGAGAGAAAAGTTCCTCAAGAAAATTGAAAGATTTGTTTCAGAGTCATACATTAGTTGCCCTCTCAGACCAGTAAAACAATAAAAACTTTATTGAAAGGCGTTAAAATAATACTCGGCCCCAATTTTTGGTATGTTCATGCCCATTTGGCCATTTCTTTTATGGAATCTTTTGGGAAGAAGTTAGAAAGGCATCTTAACCAGCTGTTTCAGTCAGTCGGAATCTTCTTTTCTTTCTTTTTTTAAAAAAATTCTTTTTCGTATGTTTGCATAGAACAATCCCTCCGTTCTGTTAGACAAAGGACGGACCTTCATAATATTTGTATAGAAGATTTAGACGTACGTTATGTATAAGTTGCGTGAAAAATTTCTCAGGAAAAAAAAAATCGGTTTTATGCCTTTCAGTTTCTCATTAAAGAGAGAGGGAGAGAGGGAGAGAGAGAGAGAGAGAGGGGGGAGAGCAGGAGGAAGATTGTTTTTTACGGCTTATCAACCCTTTATAGGTTATTTAAATCTGAAACTTATTTTCGATTTATAGGCGTATTCAAGCGTTTGCTCATCTAAACACTAAGAGAGAGTAAGAGAGAGAGAGAGATAGATAGATAGATAGATAGATAGAGAGAGAGAGAGAGAGAGAGAG